TGATGATCCTCCAATAGAGGAGAAAGTTTACCTTGACCCAAGGATTTGTCCAACCAGCGCCCGAAGAGACCTAAACTCCTGGCCTAAATATAGCTAGCCGCAAGCATTCTGGGGCTCAGTGTCTTTAATTTTGCCGAATATGTATTTGTTTTCCTCACATGAAGCCTATTTTTAATCAATTGCCAGATTCTTCAGTCCGTTTCCTGGAAAGGAGGCCAAGAAAAAAAAGTGGGAACAAACACATCAGGCGGTCATTTGTTCAGTGCTACGGAAACACAGAGTTGCTACTGTCCCCTCAAAACCACAGACTTCTCTGACGTCAGGGGCAGTGAGGTTTTAATAGCAAACATAGATTATTTCATTTTGCCTTGTGCAGGAAGGTGGCTTTCTCTAGGACACAGCTCCTCAGTAGCAGCCTTTCAAAGCACTTTACTCAGCTTTGGAGAGGCCAAGTCAATATCACTGGTTTTCACTGTATAACTTAAAGGAAGTGAAATGAAACACTGGTGGTTTGTGAACTGCTTCAGCTGGTAATAAAATGAAAGATGATAGCTTATTTTCACTCATTTCTTTCTTTGACAAAGTTTTATCGAGCTCCTACTATGTGCCCGAGACTATTCTAGAAGAATACCTTTCAATAAAACATAATTTTACCCTTAAGGAACTCAATTTACCAGGGAGATTGTGGGAAGGGGTGGGAGATTAGACAGAATGCACAGAGGCTGCCCTTGTCATTGCCTGCTAATCAAGAGTTGGCATATGGTTCCAGGCTCTTATCTAAGAGCAGAAGCATCCCCTTCTGCTTTATTCAGGATCTGTTGCCTCCTATTTGATTAAATGGGATCCGAAACACAGGTACACCCAGCAAGGGGACGAGAGCCCATTATTGAGTGATCAATCTCATAATCAATGCAATGATCAGCCTTTGAACTGTTATTCATTCACCAAGTACCTATTGATGACCTATAACATTTCTACAACTGTGCAAGGCAGTGAGGGAGAAACAAATGTAGGTAAAAGACCATCCTTGCCCTCAAGAGATTACAATTTAGACAGAGACATCATGTCCACTTTGGCTTGGTTGTAGCTTCTGTACCCAGCACAGTACTCAATACTGAGTAGGCTCTCAATAGACATTGGATTAAATGAATAACTGAATTATTGACATATGTAAAGTATAAACTAAGAAAAACAGGCTCTCCCGAGCCAGTTTGGCTCAATAGGTAGCACATCAGCATGCAGACCAAAGGATCCCGGTTCGATGCCAATCAAGGGCACTTACCTCGGTTGCAGGCTCCTCCCCAGCCTGGGCCCTGGTTGGGCCTCATGCAGGAGGAAGCAATCATTCGATGTGTTTCTCTCACATCGATATTCCTCTCTGTCTTTCCCTCTTTCTTTACTCTCTCTAAAAATCAATTGGAAAATATCCTCAGGTGAGGATTCAAGAAAAAAGAAAAAGAAAAACAGACTCTTCTGAGGCTATTGGAGTCCAGGTAAAAGGCTAATGAATTGGCACTGGAGTCCTTGAAGAAAGCCTTAGTGAGGTTGACTATTGAAGTTTTGAGCAGTAGGAGAGATTAGGATAGGCAGAGGATAGGCAGAGAATAGAAGGCAGTATCTTACACACAGGGGGAGAAACCTGAGCAAATTTTGAAATAAGTGCCCAGCAAGGCCAATTGGGGACTCCAGCCTAGCCGGAGTGTGAACTCCATTTTAGAGTCAGATTATGGCAGATTGAGGAATTTGGACACATTTTCCTGAAGATAATGGGAAGCCATGGAAAGGTTTTGATTAAATGAATGACTTAGTTTTTTAAATGTTTTAGGAAGCTAAATCAGGCAGTGGTAAGGTCTGGCAGGGGATCCCTGCAGCCATGGAGGCTTGAGGGTAGGAGTGCTGAGAATGCAAAAGATGAAATTCCAGAGGAAGTTCTCCAATTCCAGAGACTAACCCAAATGGAACCATAAATCTCAAACAGAAACAAACCACACTATTTTGCTAAATCCTGAGCCAGATCTAAGTATCAACGGTCTTTTGCTTCATAGTTCAGTAAAAAATATTTCAATAGCTCCTGAACCCACTCAAACAGAAACCAAATATATATTCTCTACAATCACTGAATATTTTATTTTATTTTTAAATATATATATATATATATATATTTTATTTATTTTTTACAGAGAGGAAGAGAAAGTGATAGTCAGAAACATCGATGAGAGAGAAATATCAATCAGCTGCCTCCTGTACACCCCCCACTGGGGATGTGCCCGCAACCAAGGTACATGCCCTTGACCGGAATCGAACCCAGGACCCTTCAGTCTGCAGGCCGATGCTCTATCCACTGAGCCAACCCGGTTATGGCTAGAATTACTGAATATTTTAAAACAAACTGCTGATCTATCATGTGGTGGCCTGTGCCTTTAAAGTATTAATGCCTTTCAAAACAAGATTCCAAGTTGAATCTTGTTGCCAGCGGCTGGCTCTTAGAAGGGAAAAAAATATATAGCTGCATGTTTTGGTGGGGGCTCTTATTATGGGCTGGAGTGCTGCTTTCATACATTCTCTAATTAAATCCCACAGGCCCAGAAGGGTTAAGAAAGTTGTTCAGGGTCAGGCCACAAATAAATGACAGAGCCAGGGTTCAAATGCAGTTGTACTCCAGAGTTTGCTATACTGTATCTATATGGACTGCCAGCCTGCCCTCAGTGTTTTAGGAGGTAGGCATAGATAACTTGGTGGCAGTCAGAAGCCTCTCCTGGGTCTCTACAAGCCCACTTTCCCTTACACCCATCCCTGTCCTTTCCAGGGGATAGTCTCTGTCCACTGTGCCTTTTTGAGTTTAAGAAATCTGTGTGTCCTCCCTACCCCATTCCCAGGACTGAGTACAGTGCCAACTAACAAAAGACACTCAATGTATGCTTATGGATGGTCTCTTCAATTATGTTCTGGAAAATACTTAAATCCAATTAAAATTCTGATGAATTGAAATACCTTTAAAATTCCACTACGGCAGTTTACTATGTAAAACAGTGGTTCTCTAACAACAGTGACCATGTTAACACAGATTCCTGAGCCTCACCATCCCCACCCCTCAATTCTGCCACATTCAGTAGGACTGAGGCTGGGCCTAAGAATCTGAGTGTTAACTAGCGCTTTCTCAAAGACATATGATCATACACAAAGACACCCATAGGCACACACAAATAATGTATATATTTTTATTGATTTCAGAGAGGAAGAAAGAAGGAGAGATAGAAACATCAATGATGAGAGAAAATCATTGCGATCAGCTGCCTCCTGCAAGCCCCTCTACTGGGGATGGAGCCCTTGTGAGCATGTGCCCTTGACCAGAATCGAACCTGGGACCTTTCAGTTCGCAGGCCAAGGCTCTACCCACTGAGCCAAACTGGCTAGGGCAAGAATCACTATTGCTTCCAGTGGTCAAGTTGTAAATTAGTTTGCCACATCCAGGAGGACAGGAACTTCATTTATCCGTTCACCAGGTATTTATGTAGCATCAACTACGTCAGGCACAGGGGCTGCTATAACAAAATACCAGAGACTGGATAGCTTCAACAACAGATATTTATTTTCTCACAATTCTGGAGGCTGGAAGTCTGAGATCAGGGCGAGAGCATGCTCGGGTTCCCATGAAAGCTTTCTCCTAGCTTCAGATAGCAGCCTTTTCACTGTATCTTCTTGGGGTCTGTGTATGGAGATATTCATTCATTCATATTCTCTCTCTCTCTCTCTCTCTCTCTCTCTCTCTCTCTCTCTCTCTCTCTCTCTCTCTCTCTCTCTTTGTAAAACCCCCAATCCTATTGGATTAGGGTCCCACTCTTATAACTAATCTAACATTAATTACCTCCTACAAGCCCTTCTGCTAGTACAGTCTCAATGGGAGTTAGGGCCCCAACATACGAATTTTGGTCACAATGCAGTCCATAGCAAGTAATGTGATAGAGAATAACTGAGCTTTGGGGGTGGGGATTGTTTTTAGACAGAATGATCAGGGAAGACCTCTCCAAGGAGATGATAGGTTTTGTTCAGCAACTCGGCTGTAGTTCTTTATTGGGAAATTGTTTTGTTTTTTAATATATTATTAATTTCAGAGAGGAAGGGAAAGGGGGAAAGAGATAGAAACATCAATGATGAGAGAGAATCATTGATCAGCTAGCTGCCTTCTGCACGCCCTCTACTGGGAGTTGAGCCCAAAACCTGGGCATGTGCCCTTGACCAGAATCAAACCCTGGACCCTTCAGTCCACAGGCTGACACTCTATACACTGAGTCAAACCAGCTAGGGCTGTTGATGTTTTGTTTTATCTTGAGAAAGGAATACTGATATTTTTGAAGTCTGAATTCAGATTCCAGCACTACCTCTTATGACTTGAGCAAGTTCCTAACCTCTATATGCTTTAGTTTATTCATTGATAAAAAGGGAATAGTGATAGTACCTACCTCACAGAGTATTTTAAGGATTTACCGTACTGTCTGATAGAACTTGATGCGATGATGGAAACGTTCTGTAATCTGCTATGTCTAGCACAGTAACCAGCCACTAGTGTGGCTATTGAGCATGTAACACGTGGCTGATGAGACTGAAGAACTGAATTTTAAAAATTTTACTTTATGTTAATGAATTTAAACTTATATAGCCACATGTGACTAGTAACTTCCATATTAGCACAGTTTTAATGAATTTACATATGTAAAATCTTTAACACTGTGTCTGGCATATTGCCAGGTGTCAATAATGCCATCTAGGATTAGTGTTAGTGATAACAAGTGTTTCTCTGGGCAGGTAGTAGTGTTTTTATTGTTGATTTCTAATAAACAGCAATTACACTTGGATTTATCATAGTTTCTTGCTCCCCATTCATACCTATGATGTCCCTTATGATAGTTAACCTGTTTTTCATTGAGCTGGGTGGTAGCCAAAGCCTTAGGGGCCCAACCTGCTCCCTGGGGACTGACTGAAGTGTGCTTCTCCCTGTCCAGCCGGGTGGAAATTACTGGTGGGTACTATGAATACATCGATGTCAGCAGTTGCCAGGACATCATCCACCTCTACCACCTGCTCTGGTCTGCCACCATCCTCAACATCGTTGGCCTGTTCTTGGGCATCATCACTGCTGCTGTTCTTGGAGGATTTAAGGACATGGTAAGGAAGGGTTTTCCCTTTCCACAGAGGTGAGAGCCAGGCTGGGGTAAGGAACAATGGGCATGTTTTGAAGGAAGGAATCAGAAGCAATTACTTAAAAAATGTAACTGCCTTCAAACATCTGCAAATATTTCTTGTTAACATGAGTTGCTTGTGTTCTTATGGCACATTCTGGGGTGGAGGGAGAGGAAGGTGTTATCAATTTTTTGGTTCATGCTGGCTATGTAAATACTAGAGGCCCAAAGAACGAAATTTGTGTAAGGGGCTCGGCTCTCGCAGCCCTGGCTTCGTCTGGAAGAACGTCTGGAAGGTCATTCGGCTCTTCAGTCTAATTATCATATTATGCTTTTATATAGATAATCTTTTCAAACTCTTCCCTACCCTAAACACACTTTTAACAAATATTTTAGGGTAGTTTTTCCCCAACAGACTTGGGGAGAGATGGAAGGAAAGAGTTGGTTTTTCAAAATCATTACTGTTGAGAGTATTACAGATGGCCTCCTCATTTCTCCCCCATTACCCCTCTATATCTGATTCCTGTGGTGTTTTTTTAGCTACAGGTAAGAGTAATGATAGTTTCCCCTCTCAGTAATTTCATCATGGAGTTTCTCCAGAAAGAGCATCTGGACTCTCTATTTACTCCCCATCAACCCCCTGCATTTGAAGAGCCAGCTGTGGGCTAAACTGCTTGCCAGGTCGTATCCTCAACCTCAACCTCAATCGTAGCCTCCCCACATTCTCTAACGTCTCTTTCAACTCTTTTTCATCTTTTTGTGTATGAGTATCTGCAAAGGCATGCCAGGACTCAGCTTCATAATAGTGGGCTCTTTTTTTTTCTTTTGTTTTTAAAGCATTTCTAAGCTTTTCTTTGCTTATTTAATAAACCTTGATCTCAAATTATAGAGATAACTGGAGGCCCGTTGCACAAAGATTTGTGCAATAGGTCTTCCTTCCCCTGGCTGCCGGCACTGGTTTTCCTTCAGCACCTGGGACCCAGACCTTCGCTCTGGCAGAAGCCTTCAGTCTTCGCTCCAGCTGGAGCACCACTTCTGTAGCTCCCTCTGCTCCGCACCTGCATGCATGCTGCCCAATAACCTGGAGCAGCTGGGGGGCGGGGCTGCCACCATCTTTGGTTAATTTGCATACTCACTCCTGATTGGCTGGTGGGAATCACGGAGTGATGGTCAATTTGCATGTTTCTCTTTTATTAGTGTAGATAGCTTTAGAACTGATTATCCTCCTGGCTTCCTATGAGAATATAATCAATTGAGGTGCTTAAAAACCCCAGATTCCTGGGCCCCTCCTCCAGAGATTCTTATTCAAATGGTCTAAATTGGCTGAAACCGGTTTGGCTCAATAGATAGAGCGTCGGCTTGGGGACTAAAAGGTCCCGGGTTCGATTCCGGTCAAGGGCATGTACCTTGGTTGTGTGCACATCCCCAGTAGGGGGTGTGCAAGAGGCAGCTGGTTGATGATTCTCATCGATGTTTCTTTTCTTTCTTTTTTTTATATATATATTTTATTGATTTTGTACAGAGAAGAAGGGAGAGAGATAGAGTTAGAAACATCGATGAGAGAGAGTCATCGATCAGCTGCCTCTTACACACCCCCTACTGAGGATATGCCCGCAACCAAAGTACATGCCCTTGACCGGAATCGAACCCGGGATCCTTCAGTCCCCAAGCCGACGCTCTATCCATTGAGCCAAACCAGTCTTGGCTCTCGTCGATATTTTTAACTCTCTATTCCCTCTCTCTTCCTCTCTGTAAAAAATCAATAAAATATATATTTTTTAAAAAAATAAAAATAAATGGTCTAAATTGAAGCCCAGGTGATTCTGATCTGCAGTCAGGACTGCATACCATTGCTTCATGTTTCCCAAACTTTTCTCATGATGAGAATCACCTGGTGGAGCACTAGTTAAGTATACAATTTTACCTATATGTTACCAAAAATTCTAGTTTAGCACTTCTTAGTTAGGATTCAGGAATCTGTATTTTAACAACTCCACCAGGTGATTCTCATCATGAGAGAATTTGGGAAATACTGCAAAGGAATGTCCCTCGTGTGTTTAGGGAATTATTTTGTACCTAAAAGTGGATTTTCTTTGACCCCAGAAATGAGACCGATAGCCTCTAGGCCCTTGGCTATTTCTGTCCCATTTTGGGGTCCCTGAGGAACAAGAACCTGAAAGGCAGTTTGTAATTTAACTCTGGACTGTCAAAAGGCTGCGTAATGGAAAATGAAAGGTGGGCTAAAGAAAAACTGCAGTTTTGGGCAGCAAATCCCTGGCAGAATCAGGCTGACTGGAAGCATTGAGTGTTCCTGCTGGTGACTCTAAGTGAAATCTTTTCCTGCTCATGCCCAGTCTGTGTCTGTTTCTCTCTCTCTTTTGTATGTGCACTTTTCATTCCCATGCCCCTTCTCCCATTCAGGAAAGCCCAAGCACAGAGGAGTGGAGGAAGCATCGACAAGGTGGGGCCCTCAGTAGTAGAAGGAGCAGGAAGAAGGAGGAGGGAGAAGGATTTCCGGTTTGGGCCTGAGGGAACTTTGGGTGTGAGAGCGGAAAAACTGTTTCTAAGTTGGGGCTTTTTTTGGAGAAAAGAACTTCCTTTGTTCTTGAAGAATTTCCCCAGGGTATAGGTGAAAGCAGAATCTAAAATAGGCCAGCTGGTGGAGAAGCTCCTAGGTTGGTAAGTTAAGGAGATGGGTCATGAGGACCAGTGTGAAAAGTTCTCTGAATCATTCCTAGAGCATTCAGACATGGGCACAAATGGAGTGGGTGATGGCTACTTGGTAGTTTCAATGGGGTTCCCGGCAAGGACCCCTGTCAAGACTCAGTGGACCATTGATGTCTAGGTTTATTTCTGATTCATAACTTCACTGTGACCTTTGCTCTCTAGGGTAAGGTGACCAGACGTCCCGCTTTTGGCAGAACAGTCCCGATTTTTAACAATTTGTCCCGCAGCGTTTTAAAAAAAGTCCCGATTTTTTCCAAAAGCGGGACGTCTGGTCACCTTACCCTAGGGGGGAAAAAGGGTTTGTTGATGGTCTGTCCTCATAGGTGGCAGCAATGGCCCTTTACTTTCTATGAAGTACTTTTACACAATTACTTTCTCCGATCTACTAGTAACTTGTGAAGTAAGTATTACTGCCCCAATTTCACAGATAAGGGGCCAACAGAGATCAAGTGACTTGCCCAGAGTTAAACAGCAGAGCTGGGACTGAAGCCCAGGTTTCTCAAATGCCAGAACCTTTCTACTCCATCCCAGCTTCTCTTAACTAGCATGTGGATAGCCTTTTCTAATTCTACAAATGTTTTAACAGAAATTACCTCCTTTGTTTTGATGCTTTAATTTCAAAAAAATTAAAGCAAGTTGTTTACAACTGTTGGGAGCTTCTTCAATAGTAAAGGAGGAGAGCAAGGGAAATTTTGTTCAATATCAAATGCCAATCAAGCCCAAGAACTCAGGCAAGGACCAGTGAGGAAAACAAAAGATGAAAGCAAAGGTCAGGGGGCAAGATTTTTGATTCCTAAGGTGAGAGAATACTAATAGGAGAGTGAGATGGGGCCAGCATGGAAGAATTACTTAGCTCGTTGTATTAAAATTATACATGATGTATAAAATCCTGGAACATCAACCAAATAAACCTAACTAAAATCCACAGCCTAGGTCCAAATGTGGCTAGAGACTTATGATGTACCTTCCCTCTGAGTGGAATGCCCTGAGGTCCGAACAGAGCCTCAGGGGTGCGGCTGATGAAAGCCATTCCCTGGGGAGTAAGGATAGAAGCCAAGGGCTGTGAGCTGGCAGTCTTCAACAGGATCAGCTAAGAGCCACCATTTTTGGAATTGTGGGATTTTGAAAGGAAAAAGGAGGACTTCATTCCCTGACCAGAGGTGTTTGGTTAAAAGGATCTTAAAGAAATGTTTGATAAAATATTTGTGACCAAAGCTATAAGGATTAGAAATGAATCTTTCAAAAGTGATATTTTATCATTTTCTCCTAATGGTTGTCTCTGGTTTGGAGTAAAGTGGGGAGGAATAAAAGTGGCAATCTTTCCAAAGTCTGCAATTATTGTCTCAGAACAGACTCTGCTTTATCCAGACTAGATTGCTTTCAATGTTTTCTGTGCTACCTAGCAGCCTTTATTGCACTGGAGTTTAAAAAGCTACTGATCAGTAATGGGAGTCTCATAGCTTAAACTCTAGAAAATTTTTAAAATATATTTTATTGATTTTTTACAGAGAGTAGGAGAGAGTGATAAGAGAGCTAGAAACGTCGATGAGAGAGAAACATCAACCAGCTACCTATTGCACACCCCCTACCGGGCATGTGGCCGCAACCAAGGTACATGCCCTTGACAGGAATCGAACCTGGGACCTTTCAGTCTGCAGACTGACGCTCTACCACTGAGCCAAACTGGTTTCGGCAAACTCTAGAAATTTTAATAGAAATACACACACTCCTGTATACACACGCAAACAGAGACAGTGCCCAGCTCTTGATTATCCATACAAATGGAGAAGGTTTTGATGACATGGAAAATGGAAAAAATATTTAAATTTATTGTAAAAATATTTAAATTTATTGTAAAATCAGAATTATTGCTTTAAAACATAACCAGACCAATTATTTGGGGCCATCTCTTTTGCTCCTTCCCTGTCCAACTCTTCACTCCACCTTCCTTCAACCCCTCACCTTATCTTGTTGCCCTGCCATTTTCTCTATCTGTCCTCTACTTCTAACTTCTCTCTGTGGCTTTTCAGTGCTCATTCTATTTTCCTCTTATATTTTTGTGTTTCTTTCTCTATAACAGTCAACTTCTTTTAAAAGATTATCCTGGCCCCCTGGACTTGGTAAACACACACAAAAAAAAACGTATAGAGTTTATATTGCATGATGGTTTCTCTCTGGTTAGGCTTAATTTATTTGCATAGAAGAACTGGTTTCACTTTGCAAGAGCTGGAGGGTGTGTTTGTTTATTTGTTTGTTTATTGGTGGATATTATTGAGATTTCATTGGTGGCCTTTCATTTTTAGGAAAAGAAATCTATGAAAACAAAGTAATGACAATGATAAAGCATTGAATCTAGAAATACTCTAATTGGATGCCAAGTTATAAAACTACTATTTATCTTCTTACCTCTTTAACTCAATACAAATAATTAATGCATTATTTGTTTAATTACTACATCAAGAATCAAAATTGGCCATATGTTAGCTATATAGTTGGCAAAGATATTTGGAAGTATTTTGTTGTTCTGAGAAAGTACACAATGAATCATTGATCTATTATGATATATTAGATAAATCATGCTATTCTACCCAAAGCATTAGCACCCAAGTATTCTGATAAAGATGGATAATGACTACCTAATTCACCTTGGTTAGTCATATCTCTTTTGATTATAGAGAGTGTTTTTTGTTTGGTTTTTTTGTTTGTTTTTTAAATATATTTTATTGATTTTGTACAGAGAAGAAGGGAGAGAGATAGAGAGTTAGAAACATCGATGAGAGAGAATCATTGATCAGCCGCCTCTTGCACACCCCCTACTGGGGATATGCCCGTAACCAAGGTACATGCCCTTGACCGGAATTGAACCCGGGACCTTTCAGTCCCCAAGATGAGGCTCTATCCATTGAGCCAAACCGGTTTCGGCAAGAGAGTAGTTTTTTTTAATTGACAGAAGGCCTAGGGAATATGATTTCTGGGATTTCCTCAGGGATTAAATTTCTTCTGACATTTCTGGTGGAGAGGTAGGGGCATTTCTGAGCACTCTTGTTCTGTAAAGTGAACAAACCCTTGGGATCCAAGATCTCAGCTCTCTCCCACAAATGATAGAGGCTAACAAACATTTCTCTGGTTATCTGTGAGCTGCATCATAATGACAGGTTTGTAGCTCTTTAAGCCTCCTAGAAATGTAAATAGTAACCCACACCAAGGAAGAGAGCAGCAGAACTGTGTTGAAACTTGCTATAAGGGAGTTTCCCCTGCCAACACCTCAATATGGTTGTCTGTGCCACTGCCAAAGCCTGCCCACACATTTTTATCACTTGAGAGTAAGCTTCTGTTTTCTATTAATATAGAGTACACTAGAGGCCCAGTGCACAAAAATTCATGCACTCTGGGGGGTCCCTCAGCCCAGTCTGCACCCACTTGCAGACCGGGACCCCTCAGGGGATATCTGACTGCCAGCTTAGGCCCAATACCCCGCTCTCCAGGGGGGAAGTGGGCCTAAGCCATAGTCGGACATCTTAGCGCTACTGAGGACGTAGGAGAGGTCAGCCCGGCTTGTGGCTGAGCAGAGCTCCTGCTGTGGGAGCACACTGACCACCAGGGGGCAGCTCCTGCATTGAGCGTCTGCCCCCTGGTGGTCAGTGTGCATCATAGCGACCAGTCATTCCACCTTTAGGGTCAATTTGCATATTACCCTTTTATTATATAGCATGTGTACCAGAAACAAGACACATTGATTTTGAAAACAGCTCTTGATTGTCCATACAAATGGAGGTTTCAATGACATAGAAAATGGATAAAATATTTGCCTCACACCTTTACCCATATGGCACTCAAAAAATACAAATCACAATCCTCTTTAGGAATTAATAAATAGTGGTGACTTCCTTTAGCAATGCTTTGGCCCTGTTGGGAGCAGGACTTCCATCCGGGACAAGATTAGTCTTAACATTTAAAGGCCTATACACATCACCATATTAAAATGGTATTTAATTTCTTATGCATTATTTTGTTTGCAAAAAATAATCAGTATACTCTGCTTGGTCATTCCTGGTTTCTGTTCACTGCTAGGGTTTTGCCTCCAGCCTGCAGAGCTAATGAGAAATAAATACACTTCATGTCCATGTGGGAGCTCCTTCAAAGGATTAGAATCTACCAGAATCCTCACAACTCTTAAAATCCCTTTGTGATCCATCACATTTTTATCATAGCAAGATATTTGACATTGTGTATTTTGGGTCTTGTTTTTTTTTTTTCTTTTAAAATATCACAAATAAATAATTTTAACTTTTCTATAAGTTTGAATTTTTCAAAATAAGCTGAGAGAAATGACACAAATATTCTTATTAGTTGTAAAAGCTCTGGCTATATAACAGAAAGTGAAGAGTCCTCATTTACCACCTACTACTACTCCCCTTTCCAGATATAACCACAGTTAACAGTTTGTTGTGAATCTTTCCAGATTAATTTCATTTACAACATATATTCATATGTAATTGTTTAGGTCTTTATTTTTACATAAAGTGGGATCATGCTATATTAATATAACATGGTGGCTTCCTTATTTATTTATTTATTTATTTATTTATTTATTTATTTATTTGGAAATAATTTATTCTGAGTCAGTCCATTGTGTATCTCCCAGATATTTTCATATTTCCATGTAGTGATTTGTTAGATGTGGTGGCTTCCTTTTTAAAGACTTGTTTTTAGAGCACTTTTAGGCTTACAACAAAACTGAGAGGAAGATAGAGATTTCCCACATACCCCATGCCCCCACACATACATAGCCTATTAACAACATCCCCCACCAGAGAGGTACATTGTTACCAAGGATGAACCTATATTGACTCATCATAATCACCCAAAGTCCATAATTTGCCATATGTTCACTCTTGGTATTGCATATTTTAGGGGTTAAATAAATGTATAATGACATATCCATCAGTGTAACATCATATAGAGTATTTTTACTCCCATAAAATCCTCTATGCTCCACCTACTAATCCCTCCCCCAAACCTCAACCCTTGGCAACCACTAATCTTTGTCTCTATAGTTTTGTCAGTGGCTTATTTTTTTTTAATTTAACAACATATCGTGGGCAACGTTTTCTGTCACTAAACTGTTTATCAATAATGGTTATGTCTGCATGGTATTCTGTAGTATAGATGTACCACTGTTTATTTAACCATTTTCCTAGTGATGAACTTTAATGCTGTTTCTAATGTGTTGTTTTCTACAGAATCCAACTCTCCCGGCATTGAACTGTTCTGTTGAAAATGCCCATCCGACTGTTTCTTATTATGCTCGTCCTCAAGTGGCATCCTACAATACCTACTACCATAGTCCTCCTCACCTGCCACCATATTCTGCTTATGACTTTCAGGTATGTTTTGAGAAAAAAAAAAAAAAAGAACTCTTCATTACCTTTGCTCTCATTCATGTTCTCTTGTTCTCTCCTTAATCATAGAACCTCCCTAATATTAGGTCTAGTAATAATTAATGTCGTTTTCTAATACTTTTTTAAATCGAATTTTTTTAAACAATACAACAAAATTTAATCAACAATATAGTTGCCGTTGTTTTCTACTACTTGTGCCCAACGCGCAGGAAGCATTTTAATCCCTCTGTTGTAAAATTCTTGTGATTTTGATGCAAAAAATTCGGTCAATGCATTTTTGAGGCATTCTTCATTATTAAATTTTTTTCCAAGAAGAAAGTTTTGCAAAGAACGAAACAAATGGTAATCGGAAGGGGCAATATCAGGAGAATATGCAGGTTGAGGGAGAACTTCCCATTCCAACTGGCGCAGTTTTTCAGCAGTGATTCTTGCAGTATGCGGTCGTGCGTTATCGTGGTGAAGAATTACGCCCTTCCGATTAATCAGCGTGGGTTCTTTTTCTCTTCAAGCTTGGGCTAACCTTTCCAATTGGGCACTATACACTGCACTTGTAATGGTTTGGTTAGATGGTAAAAGTTCATAATGAAGAATTCCTTTAAAATTCCACCAAACACACAACATCACTTTTTTCGCATGCAAGTCAGGTTTTGGCGTGGGCTGCGGAGCCTCATTTTTGTCCAACCATTGAGGCCGCCTTTTCAAATTAACATAGAGCACCCATTTTTCATCTCCGGTAACAATTTGCTCTAAAAACGGCAAACGGTTTTGACGAGAGAGGAGCGAACTGCAAATTGTGACTCTTTGATTACGGTTGTTGTCGGTCAACTCAGGAGGAACCCATTTTCCAAACTTTTGGACTTTGCCAAGTGCACGCAATTGATTGGAAATTGTTTTTTTTGTGAACAATTTAAAGTTGTCGCAAGCTCTTGTTGGGTAATTTGGGGATTTTGCACCAAAAGAGCTTGAAGAGCTTCTTGATCAAAATTGGACACACGGCCTGGACCACTCTTGTCATCTAACGAAAAATTTCCCTCGCGGAATTTCTCAAACCAACGCTGGCATTTTCTGGCGCTAACTGCATCTTGACCAAGAGCACTACAGATGTTTTTTGCAGCCTCACTTGCTTTTCTTCCTAATTGGAACTCGTAAAGCATGCAGTGCCGAATATGCTCTTCATCCGCCATCTTCTTAGCCCTAGTTTTGCAACAAAAAACAAACCAAACACAAACTTTTTCAAGCAAAACTTGTTAATTGCACTTCACACATTCTGTAGATACCACGTGTTTGAAGGTTATGTCAATACAAGTCAACGCCAAGCAAGATTTTAAACGAATGTTTAAAAACGACATTAATTATTACTAGACCCGATATATATGAGGTAGTCAGGCTCTCTGTCCCTGATGGCTTTTAGCAGCCTTTGGATACCAGTGATTACCATAAGGGCTATGTAGACATGCAAAGATAGGATAGATGGGAAGGGCGAGAAAGACATAAGAGGAGACGAAACAGAGATGGAAGAATAGAGGAGAGAAAGATCAAGGTATCTCAAATTGCCTTGATCTACCCCAAGGAGAAGATGATACTCATTAGTACCTCATCATGAACCCCTGTCCACCAGTGGCATTTTCTATTTCTCTGCTACAGGAAGAGGCCTCGTCCTGATCCTTAGTGTAAGGGTCAGAGAGACATTCTGAGCCACATAAGGGTTTGAATCAAATCTGTAATAATCCCTTCTTTTCTCTCCAGACTTCATAATTAGAACTATACAGAGAAAATATTTTTATAACTCCCCCCTCTCCTTTGTTGTCCTATTATCAAATAGGTCAGGAATAATGTTACCAAATTTGCACTTTCCCTATTTCCTTTTGAGCTGAGACTAAGCACAGAAAAAATGGAACCAAAAAAGGCTTTTAATTAAAAGGGATTCATTGTGTGCAGAGTACTTTGAAAAAACAAATGAAACGATCCTTTAGGCATTTTCAGTGGTGGTAAACTTGGCCACAGAAAAGTAGAATTGCACTAAAATCTGGTTAATTCAAAATTTGGGAACCAAAGGCAATATTTTTGAAGGAAGGGAGGCTCATAATGAATTTACTACTATTGATTAAGAGACCATAAATGCTCTAAGGGGACATAAAAGCAAGAGTGTTTGGGGTGCTTCCAGTTAAACAGCTAGTTTAGAAATGCAAAACCTTTGGGAAACCTAATTTTAGGTTTAGATTAACAAAATAATTAAAACTAGAAAACCCCATATAGTTGAATAAATCATATATTTGCTTGGTTTAGATACTGTTTGGGGAGGTCTAGGATTCCACATTGTAATAGTAACACTGTTGACCCTTGAACAACACAGGTTTGAACTATACGGGTCCACTTATACGTGGATTTTTTCAATAAAGACACAGCCCTTTGTATCTCAGGCTTTTGAATCTGTATATTCAAGCAACCACAGCTGGAGAACAGTATTTTCCATCTGCGATTAGGAATCTGTGGTTATATCTGCATTGCCCTATGCCATTTTATATAAGGGTTTGAGCATCCAGGGATTTTGGTATTTGTAGGGGGTCTTTGGACCATTCTCCATGGATATCATGGGACAACTGTACATATAGTGTGAACATGGACTTGTTCACTGTTATAAAATACAATATTGGAATCAGGAGGTGTCCATTAAAACTTGGAAAACATAACGTTAGAAATTGTTTTAAAACCTACATATTCACAGGTAATTCAGGGAACTTGTTACCTAAATAGATGATGTAAACCAGAAAACACAGGTATGTTAAAAATGCATAGATAATTTCAGTTGTAATGCAGGCCAAAAAAATGAATCGTTTAAGAGAATGCAAGGATGTTGAAGCTAACACGAGGAGGGTCATCATTCTCTTCGGTCCCTGTAATAAAAAGCCATCCTGAGATAGAGGGGAAACACATGAATTCAATGAAGAAGCCATCTCCACTTTTTTATATCAAAGTAAAACATATTGATTATAGGAATATTCACTTTATAATAAGCCCCTTAATTAGGAACAATGATCTCCCTAGTGATGGTTGCTGCAAACTCTAAGATAGGAAGCACTATCTTAGAGTATGGAGCCATCTTTCTCTCTATCATTCCTTATTCAAACACTACTCTGGGGGGAAAGCAAGATTGACAATGCCACTGGTAACTCAAGCTATTGGTTTCAGTTCAGCTAATGTTTACTTTGTGTTCCCTTGTGCCAGGCACTGTGCTAAGAGCTGTGGATAGAGAAACTGATTATGAATGCGACAGTCTCTAGACTTGAGAGGGTGGTAGGGGACATCAGTGGGGACAAAAAAGTAAATAGACAATTACCAAGAGTGCTATGGAAGCCCAAAAACAGGGTATCTAACACAGCAAAGGGATTCAAATCTATTAAATATGTTTTTATTGATTTTTAGATAGAGAGAGAGGAGGGATAGAAACATTGATGAGAAAGGAACATTGCCTCCTGCATGCCCTCTACTGGGGATCATGTCTACAACCTGGGCATGTGCCCTGACAGAGAATCCACCTGGAGACCTCTTGGTCCATGAGATGATGCTCAATCCGCTGAGCAACACTGCCTGGGCAGGGATCCAAATCTAGCCACCTCGCCCAGACCTACACTATGGGCTCATAGCAGGGACTCCAGGGATTTAAGGAGGACTCTACTTTTTAATAGCAGCTGCTATACAGCGAGCACTTACTATGTATCAAGCACTATGCTAAGAAGTGTTTTATATATATCATCTTGCTTAGTCCTTTGATGAAAATACAATTGTCACTGCCATTTTAAAGATGAGATGACTAAGTCATGGAGAAAATAACTACCTCACAGAGATGCTAAGTGGAAGAGCAAGGATGTGTATCCAGGTCTGACTTGAGAGATTGGCTTGAGGGTCTTTGGAAAAGCTATACATTTGAACACAGCACAGATCTTTCCCCCAGTTAATTTTAGGATATTTATATTTCTACTGGTTTAAATTATGGGCTTCCTAATCATGACTCTCATAAAGGGTCCCTTATTACATTATTAAATTGCTCAACACTGTAGGGCTACTGGGACACATACCTCTCCTAGTTCTTTCCCTAGGTTCCAACTGTCTTCTGTATTTCCCCTTTTGGAGACTTTATAGTTGTATGATGGGGATATGAGGGGTATGTTACGTGATTTGCTTCCCTTTAGAACTTAAATTGTATTTTGTTCTAGTGTTTGAGCTGAGCTTTTTTGTGTTCACTAAATTCCATTCCCTTATAGTTTCATAGGAGGAAATACCAGTCTTCACTCAAGAAAGCCAAAAGGATGGGGGAACATCTGCTTATGTTCTCAGATGAATAGAAATCAGTCAGGCCCTGACCAGCCAGGTAGTTCAGTTGGTTAGAGCATCATCCCAATATGCCAAGGCTGTGGGTTCAATCCCAGGTCAGAGCACACAAGTGTCTCTCTCTCTCGGTCTCTCTCTCTGTCTCTCTCTCTCTCTCTCTAAATTAATAAATTCTAAAAAAAAAAAAAATTAGCCAAAACCGGTTTGGCTCAATGGATAGAGCGTCGGCTTGGGGACTGAAAGGTCCCAGGTTCGATTCTGGTCAAGGGCATATACCTTGGTTGTGGGCACATCCCCAGTAGGGGGTGTGCAAGAGACAGCTAATCGATGACTCTCTCATCGATGTTTCTAACTCTCTATCTCTCTCCCTTCCTCTCTGTACAAAATCAATAAAATATATTTTTTAAAAATTAAACAGCAGTCAGTAAAATGTACACTAGCTCTTATAATAAAACCACCAGAAGCACAGACCCCACCTCCCCACCCCCAAAAAAAAGCCAGAGCTCTCTATGTTCTTTTTGGATTATAAAAGGGCCCAAATCATATCAGGAAAACGGATCTTTCTAGACTTTTTTCTGGATGACTTTTCCATTCTGCTCATTTCCAAATAGGACTATTCTGGTGACTTAAAGTTTCAAGACTTCTGCTTCCTTTTT